TGTCCCTAAGCCCTCTGCTAAAGGGGGGGGGGAGGGGGGGAACATTGTGGGGCATGTGTGCACCCCACACTCTTTTCGGATGAAGGGCTGGAAGGGCCCATGAGGGCCTCTTCACAGCTGTTACCTGTGTGACGAGTGCAAATTTTGTTCTTTTTCTTAGCTGCCCCACCCATGATGATAATCAATAGCACACTGCATGATCACCGACTATATGGGCACATGCGACATATGATTTTTCAAATTTTTCGTTTATCATCGGTCGGCGGCCACTATGGGCCGCAGCTAATGGTGAACTCCATGCTTGGAATGTAGCATCGGTTATAAGTTAATAACTTAAAAAGTTAATAACAAGTTTATTGTGCAACAAGTTTTTTTTCTGCGAGTATAAATCATAGTTATCTCTTGGGCTGAGGTGGGATTTGAACCTGAAACCCGGACCGATGAGGTAACTATGCATTGATTTCCTTTTTTGGTGTTTGTGCTGTTTTGCCGACCATGAGATTTGAACCCGGCACCTCCGAGTACAGTCTGTTTGCTACGTGCAGTAGTTTGCCTTACTAGATTAGGGATGGACTTTGCCAGACTAGTTTCTCATTTGTAAAGCTTGGGGTAAGAAGTCTGACGAGCAGCGCTATGTTTTTTAGCGCCTTGAAGGAGCGAGTCTGGGCGCAGCCATAGTCAGTGTGTTCGTTCTGGCTTGACACCACATCATTTTAGTGCTATTGGTTAGATGATACTCACAAGATGGAGTTGCCCAAGTGGACATAAATGTTTTGTGTTTCCATCAACTCTGCTGGTTTGAGTCTTCAAACCACCAGTACCTTTCCCAGCTCTTGTGCCGAGATGCGCCGGGTAACTCGGGAGGCCGGCGGGGTTCGGTGCCACCGGACCGAAATGGCTGGCGGCGCCAGCCAAAATGAGTCCCGCACCGGTTCGTTTTTTTTTCGGTGCGCAGGGCGATCTTAGGCTCCGCATCTACTGGTGGTTCAAGGTACTGGTGGTTCAAGGCAAAATTTCCACCAGTTTCCTATCAATTGCGTTTTGCCTCCAATTGGGCTTCCATGAGTGTCGACCGCCAAAATTGATTGGCGTGGTAAATCTCGACACAAGCTTGTAAACCAAGTTTTCCTCCGAGCTTATTTTAAACACAGGCATCAATCAAGGGGTAGAGAAAACTGTGGTGTGCAAGTATGTGGAGCGCTTAGAGCAAGTGAGAGAAAAAGGGGAAGAGAAAACTGTGGTGTGCAAGTATGTGGAGCGGTTAGAGCAAGTGAGAGAAAACTATAGACAAATAAGAGGGGGACATCTCCCCAAGTGATATAAACTATAAGAGAAAGAGGAACATCTGCGCAAGAGGTATGGAGTATACCAGCAAGGTGCGAGAAGGCATGGGAGCGCCTTTGTAGAGGGGTAGAGCAAACTTTTCCTGTATAGGCGGGAGAGGGTTAGCTGGAAAGGATTTCCTTTCTCTCAGAAGGAAAGCAGCTGTGAGATATCAATTTAACGAAGTCTGACCGAAAAGGAAAACAAAAGCATTGTCGTTATTTTAACTTGTTTGAAGTTCGAACTTTGAAGTTGTTATTTTACCTTTTCAACAATCACCGTTCTCTTCGCGATCCCCGAGGCACCCGTTTGTTTGTTTTTCCCTGCACACTGCACAGTGAACAGCTGTTACAAGAAGTTTTTTTTTTCCAACAGTGTGCTGTTTTGACATCAGTTCTGAATAGTTCAGCGTGGCTATGCCCATCCAATGGGTCTCTATGCAACCGTAGCGAGGTCTCCCCATGCTACCTCGCTAGTAGAATGACGGCAGTAGAGGGAGGGATACTAGGCCTTTCGGCTACCGTCTTCACCCGAATAGAACGCCCGGTCATTATAGCTGTATTTGGTGCAACTTTCAGTCCAGATACGGCAATAATTACCAGGTGTTCTATTCGGGTGAAGACGGTAGTGGCAATCCACTTTGAGCACCTCAGGGACAGCTGCTGTTTGACTCATCGTGAAATTTGATCAGCCTAGTCGTGTTGCATTCGTACTCGCATGTCACTGCTGGGTGCTATCTGGTCTTGCTCCCCCTATCTACAGCTACGTGAGACCCCATGCCTCCAAAAGGGAAATGGAGAAATTCCAGGCTGACCGGGTATGCATTAGCAAATGTCGAATAACTGACAGATCAGCGGTGTCCAAAAGCTGGTGTTCTGGTCCTGTTTGTGTTGGCTGAGGGGGGCAAGGACTATTTCTGGACGGTCTGACTCAAAGCATGCACAACTGTGTGCTTGAACCCAGGACCTCCAGTATGCCTCTTCAGTCCGTTACCTAGTGAGCTAGGCCATTTGAGGTACAGTACAGTGACGGAGTCAGCGGTATCCAAAAGCTGGCGGTGCCGGTCCTGTTTGTGCTGGCTGAGGGGGGCAAGGACCATTTCCGGACAGTCTGACTCAAAGCATGCACAACTGTGTGTTTGAACCCAGGACCTTCAGTATGCCTCTTCAGTCCGTTACCTAGTGAGCCAGGCCATTTGGGGTACAGTACAGTGGCGAAGTCAGCGGTATCCAAAAGCTGGCATTAGTGGTCCTGTTTGTGCTGGCTGAGGGGGGCAAGGACTATTTCCGGACGGTGTGACTCAAAGCATACACGACTATGTGCTTGAACCGAGGACCTCCAGTATGCCTCTTCAGTCCCTTACCTAGTGAGCCAGGCCATTGGGGGCACGGTACAGTGAAAAAGTATCCGAAAGTTGGCGGTGGTGGTCCTGTTTATGCTGGCTGAGGGGGGCAAAGACTATTTCTGGATGGTGTAACTCAAAGCATGCACGACTATGTGCTTGAACCGAGGGTATGCCTCGTCAGTCCCTTACCTAGTGAGCCAGGCCATTGGGGGCACGGTACAGTGACGAAGCCAACTTTCTTGGAAGCTAAGGGTGACAGCTGTGAGATATTATTTCACCGTTGACTGGTCCTGATTGTTGTATTGTTGTCTTTTCATTCTTTCCCCCACCGTTCTCATGCCGCTTCACTGTTATTATTTCACTTTTTTCCCCCTTGCTGTCTCCGTGCTGTCCACAGTGACCACCATTTCCTCTGGCACCGCGCATGACCAATGTTTTTTTTTTTTGCCTTTTCATTATCCACACTTTCCATGCACGCGTACCACGGTTTTCTACGTGTGGGTCTGCTCCGACATCAGTTCCACACCCTCTAGCTTGGGTGGTCGCAGCGGGCGGGTGTCAGGGAAAACCTGCTTTGAGCTGGGCCTGGAAGTCATAATAGGACAGTACAGTGCGATCAAATTATCCTTGGTAGAGCACGGCGCCGCTCTCGCGACGGATAGGACTTGCTAGCACTTTGCGCTAGCAGTGATATATTTTCCTCCGAGTGCCAAAGCAGTCGGGATTCGGAAGCACTATATTTTGAACTGATGTCAACACATCCCTTAGTGTGTGCAGCGTGTCGATGCTACATTTTTGTTTGCTTGTCATCGTCAGGCGCTGGTACACTCCATTGCCCCATGTCTACAGACTCTACAACCTTAGTGAGAGCTTGTGCTGCCAAGGGAGGACCTGCGGGATCGGGTCCCGACTACTACTGCTAAGCGGTAGAATGAGAGTCGTTAGGTGATCCAACTAGTTCAAGGTATGGTTTGTCCTCACATCCAAGGCTGTATGAAACCGACTGTGATGCAACCCTTCCACCCAACGGTTGAGTGGCCAGGGTGTTTCCCTACCCACTGGCAGGGCAACAGTAAGGATGGTGCACCTTGCAATCGCGGTGTGCAGTGATGTGAAAGGGAAGAATAGGCCCTGGCCGGGCTGGCACTCAATTTTTTCAATTTTTTTTTTTTTTTTGTAATTTTAGTAATTTTTTACTGTATTTGTTTTTATTGCTGACGCTTGGGTAATGACCTCAGTCGGTAGAGTGCCTCATGCGGGGATCTTCATGGCCCTCATACAATGTGTGACAGAGAAAATTTGGGGAGGACCCTGGCCTCTACAGGCCCTCCTGAATTTGTGTGAGGAGAGCATGCACATAGTGAGCAGGCCCTCCCCAAGCAAAGTCCTGAAGGAGGCTCTTGAACGTCTCTTTCTCTTGCATGGGGGATGTTTAGTTACTCCACCCCTTTCTCACTCATGCATCTTTGCTGTTATATGTTTTCCTTGACGCAGTCCATGTCACTGTTTTGTGCAATCATTGCGGTTTGTCAGTTTGCTGCTCTTTCCTGTGTGGTGTATGGATGTGGCATCTGACACCTGCACTCCTGAACCTTTTCTTTTGCACCGACGTGTGCCACAATTCAAAATAATTTTGAGACGGAGTGTGTTCGATCAGCACACAGGAAGAAGAAGGAGAATGTGTGTGTGTGTGTGTGTGT